CTTGGAGGCTTGTGGGATGGCGATAGGCTAATTTGAGGCACATAATGCCAGTTTCCTTTCATATGCAGAATAGCACTTTGATCCAATGTGGATGAAAGTGCTGAAAAGTAGAGAGGATGTCAGAGGGTGTTTTGTCTTTGACAAAAAAGGCATCTGCCAGGCTCTAACCCCCTTTCCCCACCCCCTCAGCCTAGCAGGCCACTCCAACAATGCTAGCAAAGGGGACAAGTGTCTCCTGACAGCTGAAGAAATCTCCAGTAGGAGAATGAGGCTTGCAGCAATATGTATACCAGAGAGCTTAATCGTTTTTTTTTTTTTTTTTTTTTCACAATACAAAAAAGGAGAGGGCTGGGGGAAGAGAGAGAGATCACAGTGGAAATGGGAGGTAGGAGGAGAAAAATCCCTTTCTAATAAACTTGTTATTTTAGTTCTCCAAATACATCTTTTCAGGAGATGCTTTGATGCTAGTATGAATACATTTAATGGAGCAGAGTACGGTAGAGTTGCTGCAGGGAGGGGGAGAGGTGTGAAACAAGGAAGAATAGTTTTGCAAGGAGGATGAATGTGGAGTGATTTCTGTGGATTCCAATGCAGGAATTATTTTGGAATTAGTAAAATAGTGTAATGCAAGAGATTGCTGGAAGACAGATCTGTATTTTCTGTACCACCTGTTGGAGGAGCTCAACTCAGCACAAATTATTGGTTTTGATTGCCAAGCAAAATTGACAATTTCTTTTCAACACTTCCTTCTTTTCTGTTGTCTTCTTAACTCCATGGACTTAGAAATGAAAGGACTTCAGTATTGAATGGGGCGCTAGGAAGGCAAGCAGTATTTGTGTCAAGTAAACACAGCAGTTGCAGATCAGCTGCTAATCTGGTCCCTGCTTTTCATGCTCTCTCAACCTTTCTTCAGCTTTTCACATCTGGTAAACAAGATTGGGATCTGATCCACAGAGTTTGGTAGCTGTTGTCTTCCATATCTCTTTGCACCTAGCCTAATGTTTTCTTTGAGAAATGACAGATAAGAGTTATCAACCTCTGAGTAAGACCCACCTCAGCAAATTAAATCCTTTAAGAACAGTAGGTTCATGAATCTTCCTTCTCTTGAGATTCTGACAGTTTAACCATTACTATTTACTGAAGATAGATAACCTTCTCACCAGGGCACAGCTTTAATCAACTCCTGGTACTGCAAACAGTTCCTCCCTTTTTACCCCCGCACCTCTTCTCTTTCTGCCAGGGAGTAACAATTCCCTCAGATGGTATGAGTGATACAGAAATGGAGAGAGGCTATCCCATTTCTTTGAGATGCCCTATACAGACACTGACACTGAATTGTAATCCTGTGTAGTTAAGTACATGTGCCATGATCCCACTCCAACAGATGCCACCGTTCTGTACAGACCAGCTGATGTGGAGAGTATTTTTGGCAAAAGCATCTCCTGCCCTCCAGCTGCGCAAAGCCTGATGACTCATTAGGGAGGGCTATTGTCAAGGGCATTGATGCTCTTCTGATTTCTGTCCATTTGTCATATCTTGACTTTTCTTGCTCCCAGTGCTTGGGCTGTGGTTGGGAATGGTGCAGAAGGACTTGAGCTGCTGCTGCTGTCATCAAAGGAGCTGAGACCACCTCTGTCACTCACAACACCAGCGTGAATGGTTCCTCTCTGGGTGGGCTTCAGGTGATTCTTGTGTGACTTCTCTCTCAGATGCTATGCACAGTGATAGGGTGCAGGTCTAGATCCAAATGGGGAAATACGTTGCTCATGGGGAGATCTGGCCTGGCATGGAACAGCCCTCTGTAGTCCTCCATGCCAAAGCAAACCAGCCCATTAAATGCCACACAAACCCGCCAACCACGCTGTGGAAGCCATGGCAGCCTGCTGGATGTTCCATCCCCAAGCTGTCATGGGTAGGATGGGCTGTAGTAGTCTTGGGCACTGAGTTTGGACACTTTGTTTATTCTTTGAGGTGAAACATGAACCGCCTTATTGTGAAAGGTCTTTTATGCTTACCCAGGTGGGCAGGCAATCCCTTCAGCTGCTGCCATCCTGAGATTTCTTCATGTATCCAGTATCAACTCTCCCACTGTTGCAGTTACCTTAACAAAATAGCTTGAATCCTAGAATATTATTTTGATTTTAGTTTAAAATATGGCTTTGATTTAAAGTGGAGTTATAGCAGCTATGAGAATGTAAAGCACTCTAAGGCCTTTAGGAATAGGTAGCTACTATGGTGTGTGCCTTTGTCCTGGGTTGAGTGAATAGTGGAGTTTTTTGGTGGCAGGGGAGGGGGCTATAGGGGCGTCCCTCTGTGAGAAGCTTCTCGAAGCTCCCCCAGCTCCAAGTCAGCTCCACTTCTGTTTGGAAACTGAGCCAATCAGCTGCGCCTCTGCGATAACGTATTTAAGAAGGGACGTGGTCATGGGCAGTGGGACTTATGAGGAGGAGTTGCTGCAGCTGCGTGAACACCAAGGTCAGTGGAGGAACGGAGGAAGAAAGGAGGGGCGAGGAGTGCCGGAGCAGAGACCCCCCTGTATCCTGTGGTGAAACGGCAGGGCGGCCCCCCCCTGCCACCCAAGAAGATCTACGGTGGAACAGACATTGATTTATGGCCTGTGGCTTCTGATTGCATGATCAAGGTACTGTGCCTAAAGAAGGCCGGGGTCTTGTGGGAAAAGGTAGCCCCGCTGCTGTAATTCAGTGCTGGGAGGATTGCAGCGTGCGGGGGTGTCCCACGCCGGAGCAGCTTGGGAAGGGCTGCAGCCGTGGGAGAGAATCCAGTTGGAGTAAGTTAGTGACCCATGACGGAGCAGTGTGGGGAACGCTGCAGCCCATGGGAGGAACACATGTTTGAGAAACTTTGTGGAGGACTGTCTCCTGTGAGAGGGGGACCACGCTGGAGCAGGGGGAACAAGTTCCAGAAACTCCCGTCACCGAAGACAGTGGAAGTGGCAGCACTGACTGCACCCCCCATTCCCTGCCCCTGTGTCACTGGGGGAGGAGGTAGAGGTATCAGGACCAGAGCTGAGCCCGGGAAGAAGGGAGGGGTGGGGGGAAGGTGTTCGCAAGATGTGACAATGCTTCTCGCTGTCCTACTCTGTTATGTGTTGTTAGTGTCTGTAATAAATGTATGTTCTTTCTTTCTTTCCCTAACGAGTCTGCCTTTTGCTCGTGATCATAAAGGGGAATTTTTCCCCATCCCAGTCCTATCTCGAACCCCAAGCCTGGCTCTTTGTCCCTTCTCATTGCTGGAAGAGAAGGGAGAGAGAGCTGCTGCACTGTGGTTGGCTGGCAACCAGGCCCAAACCACAACATCCTTGAACACTGTATGAATCGTTATGGACTCTGAATTGAAGCAATGGGTACTGGTTATGGATCTTGAGTCAAAACAATAGGTACCAGAAGATACTGGGTTTGGTTTGGATGATCAGCCAAAGATGAAATGAGCATGTGCAAGGATGGACTTCAATCAGCAGACACAGTGAGGAAGACTATCGACGACCACCAGAGGACCCCTGTCCAACAAAACTATGCACGTGTTAGAGACATTTGCATATGATAATGATTTCCAGGAAATAACATGAATATGCTAATCATTGCCCTTTCCTCATTCTATTCAAATCAATCAGTAAAGATGACCAATGATTTCTACAGAATCAGAATATAGGTAAGGTGAGGTAACTGAAAGCCAATTATTAAGTTCAAACTAAACTTTATGAATTTTGTTGATCTTATGTAACCATGACTCTGCTGAAAAAGTGTATAAATATGTTGTGCTTTGTATCTGTCGGGGAACACATTTTTTTGGTGGAGCTATCCTCAGGAGAGATGGCAGTGTTTTACTTGCCATATGCTGACAGATCTGCTGTCTGTGTGGGCAAGTAGCCAGCTCCGTGCCCCACCAGTGTGCCCACTAGCATCCCATGCTCAGCCTGGGGAGTTTCTGCCCAAGTCCTTCCTTGACTCCCTGCCTTTCCAGGGCTTGGTGGCTGCCTGCTGTAGTGGCTGGAGCAGCAAGGGAGATGTACAGAGATGCTGCATCATGTTTAGCTCCAGAGGCCCCAGCCAAATGTTGCTCTCTTGTGCCTTTTAAGTGGTGGTTATCCTCACGGTGGGAGGCAGCTGGAGTAGCAGCTCTCTCTGGTCCTGAGACCACAGACCTGGGAGAGCCATGCTGTGCTGGAGGTGGGGAAGCAGCAACAGCTGGAGGAGACCTCTGCTGATCTTCTCCCTTTCTGGTCAAGGGAGAGGCTCCCTGGGGATAGGTACTGTGGCAGCCACACTGGTTCAGCTTGAGGTGAAGGGAATGGGAGTGTTTGCATTCCCAAGTGAATGCGGAGGAGGAGGAAGAAAAGAAGGAGCTTGAGCAGCAGCAGCCCCTGTGCCTGTGGAGACAGTCAGCCAGAAGAGAGTGCAGGGCTGCTGCCCTCAGATTTTGCCTGTGCAGGGGGTGGCTGCCTGCATCCCCCGGCAACCACCATCCTTCCCCAGCCTGCTTTGGAGAGCCATTTCTGCCTGAAATAAATGGGGTGTGTGGGAGGAGACAGAAAGCAGGAAACAACAGCATGAATGTTCCTTGCAGATGAGGAACAAAGGGCAAACAAGGAGAAACCATGTTTAATTTAGGTAGGCAGCTGAGGAGCTGTGGGGATAGGAGCCCTAGAGCTCTATGGTGGTCAGGCAAACTGTTATCTAGGAGAGCAAGACTGTCCCTATTTCAGTCTGCCCCTTTGTAACTTCTGTATTAATCACATCATGGGCAAAACCTCATGAAGTTACATGTGGTGAGTCAGTTTCCTATGACCAGGCCTGTGGGACCTCAGGTGTGAGTATCTGCAGTCCTGGAGGAGGCACAGGTTGACAGGGTGGACTGGTGCACTTGGAGTGGGAGCAGTTTTAGAAAGCCCTTACCAGGTGGCTTTATGTCAGTGACCTTCTGAAGGGACAAGATGAGAACTCACCAGAAACTGTCTTTTTCTCCCTCTCGCCCTCCTTCAGGTGGTCTTTGCTTTGAATCAGACTCTCTTGCAGCAGGAAAGCCTCCGAGCAGGCAGTTTCCAGATCCCCTATACAACAGAAGATCTTATCAAGCATTACAACTGTGGAGACCTCAGTTCCATCATCTTCAACCATGACACTTCTCAAGTGAGTCTTGCCACCACATCCCTCGTACACTATACAAATGTCCCTGTAGTGCTAACCCCTGTCTTACTCATGCTCGTCTTTCCTCAGGCAGGCCCTTTGCAGATGAAGGACAAGGACATGTTGCTGTCTCCCTGGCACGTCTGCTTTCCTGCACCTCCTGTCACAGGAGTCTGTACCACCTCACCCCTGTCTTGCTTCATGCAAGCAGTGAAGGTGCTCTTGGCTTTCCTTTTTGGATGAATGTCGTGTTTGCTTTAGCATTTAAGCCTTTATTTTCCTAAGGATTCTGTGGAATTATGCTATCTTAGGTATGAGCGAACTTCACATCAACAGAGAGCATCAGCAGGCTCTTCTGTGCAAATAGCAACAGAGAAATGAGCTTCTGACTTGGACGATTGTGTAAGGCTGGGCAAGTTGAAAGCTTTTTAATGTCCCCTATCAGTATGATTGTGTACTGTGGGCCTGGCCCAAAGAAGATAAATGGAGTGAAACAAAGAAAAGATAGATTTAGACTGAATATTAAGAAAAAGAAAACCTTCTGGGGCCTCACAAACTTGATTTATGGAGAAGGTTTCCTAAGCAGCACAGTGGAATGAAATGCTCTGATCTTGAAACCACGAGAAAAAGCCCAGCAGGGACCAATTTGTTTGGGCTGTTAGATGAGCTAACCTCAGACCAAGACATCAGGACATTCTTGTCTATGAAGTACTGCCTGGCAATCATACACATCAATGAAAACATAGGCTCTAGCCTCACAGTGCTGAAGAAGTAGATGTTGGTACCTGGGCTTTACCTGCTGAATAACCATTTTCCTTTGACCTTTTGATATGTACTGTGCAGTGCTGCAGTGCTGGAAATACTGCCATACTAGCCCTCACTTCTCTGGTATTGAGCTTTGTGCATGTGCTGTTACCTTCCTGTCTTGCATACCCTTCAGCCTGCAGGTGCAGGCAACCTGGTCACTAACACTGCTTAGCTCTTACACAGTGCACTTCATTGATAGATTTCAAAGCGCTTCTCAAAGGAAGCCAGCACTATAAGAGCATGCAGATGCTGCATCACTATTCTGCTGAGGTGTTACAGACTGCAGACGACTGCAGTTGCCTTGAGGTCCTTGGAGAGAACAGCTCTTGCTGAGACATGCATGTCTCTAAGGGAGCACCTGCCCTTTGCTTACATAAGGGGCTCCACTGCAGAGCACTCTCCCTCACAGCAAAGCTAAGTAGTAATAGTCTGCAACATTATCAGTTTATGTTTTTAAGCAGAACATCTCTGTAAATTGTATTTGACCCCATGCTTGCCCGGTAGATGACCCACTATGAGCTAAGAACCCTTTGGAACCAGTCAGTAATAGACTCTGAATGGCTCCAGAGCCTCTTCATCTGCTGCAGCCTTGCAAGGGAAAGCACCTGCCTTAGTGTATCTGCTCCCCAGAAACCACCACTTACAGGCCCCTTTCTTAGCAGTCTCCAAAGCTGCAATGCCCAAAGCTACTTGTCAAGAAGCCAGGATGGCTGCAACTTCAAACCTACATTTCCATCCACTAGCAAGAGGTCAGGGTAGTGTGCTGCCACAGGTGTAGGGGCCGCAGGGGAGGAAGCCAATGTTTTAAAAGATACCTTGAGGACAGGGGAGCTGGAGATGGTAATTCCTTCTTTACTGACAAAATCTGTCCTTGTTTCTTTTGGAAAGTTTGGGGATGTTTTTGTTAACTAGTACAAATTTCACAGTTATTCTTTGACAGCCTGAGGGGTCTGATACCAGTCAAACTCTCTTAGAAGAGTGTAATTATTATTACAGTTATGTCATACCTATGGCAATTTAAGTAGGAGATATGTAGCTAAATATAGCCAGGAATAAATACTTAATTTTTTCAGCTGAGAAATCAGGATTTGGGATCTACAGTGTGGCAAACCGAGAGTATTTGTTGCCTTTGCATCAAAAAAAATCCAGCTGGATGGCTTATGAAATGATACATTGAGAGAAATGAAGCATTATACATTATTAGAAGCTTGCTGAGTCATTTTTTAGCTTTCTTCAGGTTTTGTCCTACTGAATGTGCCTTGAGAGACAAAGTGATTGCCACATTCAATGATGGAGCAAAATGCCTGTGTATGAGGACTGCCTGTGAAATATATGGCTCTTTCATGAAGACATTTTATTTTTTTTCTTCCTTAGGTCCCAAATTTCATTAATGCTACACTTCCAGCTCATGAACGCGTTACTGCCCAAGAGATAGACAGCTACTTCCGCCAGGAGCTTATCTACAAGCGAAATGAGAGAATGGGCAGGAGGGTGAAGGACCTGCTGGAGGAGTACCCAGACAAGATTTTCTTCTTTGCATTTGGAGCTGGTATGTGATTGAGGTGCCCTTCAACCTGAACATATTCTTCCCCTGTCTGTTAGAAGCTTTTTACAAATGCTTGCCTCAGTTGAAAGAAGTGTCAGTACTTTTACCATGGTGGACACAGAACACAGCTTTGCCCTTATAGTGTTAGCGGTCGCAATCGCGAATAGAACTTATCTACACACAGCAGATAAGCAGGCACTTCTTTATTCCAGCACTGGGGAACACAGGGGATAACTCTGCCAAAGATGTGTTCCACGACAGATACAAAACACAACTTATTTATACACTTTTTCAGCAGAGTCATGGTTACAGAGTCATGGTTATATAGTCATTTTAACTCAAGATCCGTAACGAGTACCCATTGTTTTGATTCAGAGTCCATAATGATTCCTATAGTGATTAAGGCAAACACCATAATAGTTACCTGTTCCTAAGGGCCTCAACATACCTTATATTGTCATAGCTGCCATAACTCCATTTTAAATCAAAGTCATATTTTAAACCAAAATAAAAAAAAATATTCTAGGATTCAAGCTATTTTATTAAGGTAATTGCAACAATAGTTGTACCCTAGTAGGAAAACTTTTTCAGTGTAGGAGTCTGTTTTAATTCAGTATGCAAAGAGCAAACAGTGTATGCATTGACTGCAATATTTATTAGTTACAGATTTATTTGTTATATGCATAGCCAAAGATACTGAACCAACTACAGTGCATACACAAAAGGAACAGCTTTTAGACATAGATGTTTATGGTTTGGCCAAGCAAGGCAGAAGGGCAGGAGGAACAGGGAGCTGAGATGAAAGCTAGCAACTCAGAGGTTTCACCAGTGCTTGAATAAACCTTTCAGGAACACATTCAAAAAAATAACATGCCAAATTGTGTGAATCTAAGGGGCTTAATAAATGCAAGGGGAGAGGCAAGGCACATTTTTACCTTTCTCTTCCTAGTGCAGGTCTTTAGCTCTTTCACTGTGCTTCCATGGGTCTGCCACTATTTTGGAGCAGAGCATTGGGCCCAGGTGGGGAAAAGCTAATCCATATGCTGCCTTTTAGCAGCCAGCAGGAATCTATATGCACATCCAGCAGCACATCCAACTCAGTGAAGTTAACACACACACTTCAGACTAGGGCTGGGTAGAGTGTGTAAACAGGATTGGTTTGCCATGACTCCTGTCCTTTGCTCTAGCTCCAAGGAAGGGTAGAAGTGAGGATTGGTGTTTGAAAAGACAAGTGATAATTACCAGAGAAGTATTGCATCCCCTCTACCATGAATCAGATGGGCCTTGGGAAAGGGGGAGAACTGAAACTGGTGTCAGAATCCATGTGATGTTTTCTGGTCTCAGTGGCTACTGCTTCAGTGAGGATTGTGCAAAAAAATCTCCTATCTCTTTCCAGGACTTAATACAGCTGCATGGCTGTAGATTTTGATTTCTTACATGGAATTACATGTGGTAATTTGATCTGTAATAGGTCTGATCATTAAATCCAGTGTATGTTATGCTTTTACTACATTTTAACAGATCAGACAAACTCCTACTATATTCTGTTGAAAATATTTCACAGGCAGAGCTCATTTCTGGAACTATTTTTGTTTGGAAGTAATTTAAGCTTGCATAAAAGCGGATAGCTAAAAAATAACATTTTTCTGAAACTATCCAAAAAGCTTTGCTTCTGACCAAAGTGCAAATATTGAAAGTTTCAAACCAAAATAAGTCTATTTCAGGGAGAGGGAAGTATGGGAAGAGGGAAATGGTAACACCAGTAGAATTCCACTAGGTTCAATAAGAATTTTATCTTAATAGTGGACAGACCTTTTTGTATGGTGGCACTAGAGCTACAAGCCAGACCTACTTCTTGTAGCCAGTGGAAGAACTTGTGAAGCCAGCTATAATATTTCACAATCGGTCATCCATCTATACACATTTTTATTTTCTGTGAACTTCAAGTGGAGAGTTCAGGATCTGAATGCTAAGCCAAAGTAAATGATGGTGTATGTAATTCCATAGACAGCCAGCTAGATAACACTATAAGTTTCTGGTTTTCCCAGGAGGTTCATGTTGATGTAAAAAGAGCTGCATTGTCCTACTGTGTTGCGGAGAGTTTTACCACTCTGACAAGAGTGCTGCCTGCTGGATAAACCTTCACAGAATCACAGGAAAGTTAAGGCTGACAGGCACTGGTCCACCCCCCTGCTCAGAGCAGAATCATATAGAGCAGTTTTCCTAGGACTGAGTCTGGTCAGGGTCTGAGTGTCTGCAAAGATAGAGACTCCAGAACGTCTCTGGGCAACCTACTCTAGTGTTTAACTCTCAAAGTAAAGAAGCTTTTTATTATGGTTAAGTGAGATTTCCTGTATATCATTTTGTGTTCATTATCTCTTATCCTTTCACGAAGCATCACTGAGAAAAGTTGTGCTCCACCTATTTTACAGCCTCTTATCAGGTATTTATACATCAGTTATAGTCCCCTAAGCCTTCTCTTCTCCAGGCTGAACACTCCCAGCCCTCTCAGCCTCTCCTTGTATGACAGATGGTCTAATTGTGCAGAACTTGGTTTGAGGAACTTCATGAGCCAAGACTGCCTCATCATAAATCCATACTGACCACTCCCAATCATCTGTGTATCCCTAACAGATTTAGAAATGGTTTGCAAGATAATTTGCTCAATCACCTTGTTTTGCCAATTGACGAGGTTAACACAAATGACACAGACACCAAGCTAAAGAAATAGGCTTATTTTACTTTAGTTTAAAGCAGCAGAAAGAATAAGCAAGGTAATGCACCTAGTCATTACTACATAAAGCTAGCTATAGTGATTAAGAAAGATACATCACCAGTTGCCCTCAGACTTTACCATCATCCAGACCCATGCATCAGCTGGGGAGCCCCGTCACAGCGAAGGGTCAGAGAGCCTTTCCCGGCAATTGGGAAGTCCCACACAGTGCGTCCACTCATAGGTGAGGTCTCCATCTGTGCTGTGGGAGGGCCCGGCTTTTATACAGTTTAACAAACAAATGTATACAAAATGCATGGGAGATATCTGGTAGATTGATATGCCTCACTCAGGCGTGTCCAGATCTGGCCAGGATCCGGGTATGTCTGAGGAGTTTCTGTTTTTCTTTACATTGGGAATTTATAGTTACTTCCTGTTGTTTACTTATAATTCCCAGGGTTGCATTTCACACTGATAAGATGCTGCTTGCTTCATGCTGCTGATAAGATGCTGGTTGCTGGTCAGGGAATTCACTCATAAGTCACCTTTGGTTTGAGGCCTATTGTTTGGGCCTTTTTTGTTTCACACCTCCCCAGGAATAGAGGTGTGGTTGACCAGTTTGTAGTTACCCAGATCCTTCTTGTGCTTCTTGAAGATAGGAATGACACTTGCTTTCTTCCAGTCCTCAGGGACCTTCCCCAATTGTCACAACCTTTTAAAGGTAATCTAGAGTGGCCTTGCAGTGGCATTGGCAAGCCCCTACAGTTCCTCTGGGTGTATCCTGGGTGTACTGGAACTGGGTGTATTGGAACTTGTACATATCTGGTTTGTTTGAATATTCCCTAACCTGATCTTTCTCCACCCAGGGTGAACCTTCTTGGCCATGGAATTTTCCTCCAGTCATAGGACCCTGAGATTCCTGAAGGCTGGTTATACCAGTAAAGAAAGTGACAATGGCACTGAGTACCTTGGCCTTTTGCACATTCTTTGTCATCAGGTCTCCTTCGCCCCTCAGCATTGGGATGACATTTATCTAGTCTACATTTTACTGCTGAGGTGTCAGTAGAAGCATTCCTTTTTTCCCTCGATATTTCTCACCAGATTCAACTCTAGATGGGCTTTCTTTCTGCACGGTCACTTTTATTCCAGTACGAGCATGGCTTGTTTGATTTAGCTTACTTATGATTTCTGTTGAAGGGGCTAAAGAAGGAAAAAAGGGTCGTTGTTTTTTTTTTTTTAATGCAAGAAGAGTCATACTTAGGAAATAATGAATACTAAAGGAAATAATAAATGAATACTAAAGGAAATAATGAATGTGTTTATTTAGCATTACTCAGACTGTATAGATTCAAATTTCTAGGGACTGTTTTTTCCCAGTCTTTACTCCCCCATTCCCCGCAAGACCCCCAGAAAGAATGGTTATGAGCAGACTGATAAACCAATATCTGAATTAGCAATTCAGCTAAGAGCTCCAGATTTTAGTTGTCTTCCTCCCAGCAGCTGAGTCAACTGATACTCACTAAACTAAAATTAACTCTTGGATGGTTGATGTGTGATCCAAAAACATGCAGAAGAATAACATGGATATCATTGTAGAAGCATAACTGACCCTGTCTAAGCTGAAGATGGGTGTGTAACCTATCATCTTAGACACCTGGACAAGGAAAAGTGAGAATGTGCTGCCATCTGTGGTTACCCCAGAGTCTACCATAGTCCACTAGGAGTTGGTTTCCTCCAACTTCTCTAGATTTTGAGGAAAGGATGTGGGGGACTGATCAGTTATGTGTCAGTCTTAGGTGCCAAGTGCATTGGATTCACAGGCATGTCTGATGCTTTTTCCCTTGCCCCTTACATCATAAAAAGATAAAAAAAAAAAAAAAAAAAAAAAAAAAAAGAAAGATTTCCAAGGGGAACTGGAATTATGCTGACTCTCTGTCCTTAATGGTGTGTTAGGTGGTGGTGTTTCCAAGTAGAGCTGTTCACTGCTACTTCTTGAAATTTGCTGTTCCATCTGGCATTTTTGGATGGGAAATTATGCAAGAGGAACAAGTTTTATTGCCTCTGGAAAATAAAAGATTGGAGAAAGGACTTGCCACCAGAGTTTGTAAAAATAATCAACAGTGATAGGCCCAGGATGTCTCTGTTCATCTTGTGTATGTGTTTATACCTGTAAAACAAAACCAAACAAAAACCTGCCATGGGGAATATGAAAGTTGCCCAGGTAAGAGGGATAATAATTGCCCTTGAAATTCAGCAGGAATTCAGAACCCAGCATGGAAACTTTGAACCG